CTGGTCCCACATTATGGATACACCTGCGACACCTAGTCTTTTATTTATTTGTTTATTTTTGGTGCTGGGGATTGAAACCAGGGCCTTGCACATGCTAGTCAAGTGCTCTGCCGCTGAGCCACATCACCAGCCCAAAGACAGAGTCTTGCAAACAGGAAGAATGCGCAAAAAAAAAAAAAGGCGAACAGAAAATGAATGTGAGCATTTGATTTAATCCAAATCAAATGGGGAGCCCCTTAGCATGAGGAGACAGATGAAGAGGATTAGGTTTGTGTCATTTGGATGCAGAGATTGGGGGTCGAGGGACCAGCCCGCTGGGAGGGCACGAGCTGTCCCGAAGGATGCAACATGTCCGTCAGCAGAAGCATGGGGGGACTGTCTCTTAATTTTGGCAAAACAACAAAAAAAACTGACCTGAACTCAAGTCCACTGAGATGGAAAATTCCAACCTGCTTGGGATAACCCAAGTCACCTGATTTCACAATTGATTTCTCCTTAGTAGGGGGCTTTTAATCCCAGGAAGATTAGACTTTAGAAAGTGGAGACAAGAAAGTAAACAAAAATCCCTAGGAGCTGTACTTTTTTACTGACTGGGTCAAGTTCTGTGTGTGTTGGGGCCTGAAGTCCTGTGTTTGGGAGGATTTAGAACCTGTAGAGTTTTTCACAGATGTGATGGAGTCACCGACTTCAATTCAAATTTCAAGTTTAACATTTAGGGGAACTCCGTCCGCAACGCCTGTGAGTGCCATTAGAATATTTACCAGATCTGCGTAGTCGGGACCCATCTCAGTTTTTTAAGAACTAAAAGCCTCCTCTGAAATTCTTGGGAAGGTCTTTTCGTTTTGCTTTTGCGGTGCTGAGGATGGGAGCCAGGGTCTCCCGCGTGCTCAGCCAGCTCCCCACCACTGAGCTACACCCCCCGCCCTTGTTTTCTATTCAGTAAGAAAATGGGATCCATGGAGCCGGGTGTCCCCAGGTGGTAGAGAGCTTGTCTACCACTCCACTCAGACAGCAGTTTTGGGTTCCATCCCCAGAACCACAAAATTAAGAATTAAAAGGAAGAAAATGGGATTCATTAAATTCATAAATGCAATTTAGAATATCAAAGGCAGTGTTATTTAGTATAAATATAATGCAAGCGACCTGTGTATTTTAAAGCTTGCTAGTAACCACGTTTAAAGCAAAAAGGGAGGCAAACTTGATTATAGTAACCCTCCATATCTAAAATATTGCCATTTTGACATGTAGTTCACAATTTATTAATGAGATAAATTACTCTTTTTTTTTTTTTTTTCTGGGGATTAAACCCGGGCCCCCAACATGCTTTGCAAGTACTTTACTGCTGAGCTATATCCTCAGCCCTTTTGAAAAAAATTTACTTTGATACAGAGTCTTATTACGCTACCAAGGCTGACCTCAAACTTGAACTCCTCCTGCCTCAGCCCCCCAAGTAACTATGATTACAGATTAAATCCTTTCTTAGAACTCACCTTCAGAATCTGCTATATATTCTACACTTTACATGTCTCAATTTGAACTACCACATTTTAAGTGTGTTTCTAGTGGCTACCATGTCGGGCAGCACAGATCTAAGGGAATTCATTAGCTGCAGATGTCAAGGATATGTATTATTTAAGGACGCTTACTCTGTTCAGCTTTGTTGGTTCAAATATTAAAGACTTTATGAAAGTCATTGTTAAAAATCAATGGGCTTATTGATAAAATGATGTTTGTGTACTGAATTTGCAAGTTAAGGGGGAAAAAACAGATTCTTAAATTTTTATTTTTTATCCATCTGTTTTTTTGTTTTTGTGGTACAGGGATCAAACTCAGGGCTTCACACATGATAAGTAAGTGCTCTACCTATAAGCTACATCCCCAGCCCTATCTTAAATTTTTTAATAAGAGGCAAATATTTTTTTCTTGCTTTTCCTTTTGCGCGAGGCCGGTCATAGAACCCAGGGCCTTGTGCATGCTAGGCAAGTGCTCCACCACTGAACCATAGGCCCAGCCCAAAATATTGTTATTTTAAAGTAACCACAAACTGCCTTTTCAGCACACAAATGCAGCCCTTAAGGACCTTACCATCTACGGCACTGATGGGATTAGAGTCATGGGCCTGGTTCTGTGTGACCACCTCAGAGAGTTGGGTCTGCACGGGCCCTTATGAGTTCTGCCCCAAACACTCCCATTCCACGGACAGGGAAACAGGCCCAGAGGAGACCAGCAGCTGGCTGCATGGTGAATTAGCGGCAGGACTGGGCCAAAGCTTCAGTCTCCTGACCCCACCCACCCTCCCCAGTGAAAGTTCCTTCTCTCTGCCCCCTTCATCCCCAGTTGACACATCAGGAAACAGAGGCACACAATCGGAGGGTTCCGGACTGAGGGCTGCAGGGAGCAACAGCAGCAAAATCAGAAGGCCTAGATCCCTAAAGTCCCCGTCACCCAAACAACATAAAGTCCCTGCCAGAGGCCACTCCAGAACCCAGGCCACCTGGGCAGAGCGAGAGCCGTGGGAGACCCGGGCTGGAGAGCTGGAGCAGGGCAGGAGGTCTGCCAGTGGTCAGAGGGCCAGACTCTACCAGTCTGAAGGCCCCGCAGGGCCAGGCAGCCCACTCAGGCTTTGGACCTCGTAGCTCCTGGGCTCCAGGTCCTGGGCGTCTCCCAGGCCTCGTTCTCGGTTTCTTTTCCTCCCTATTCTTCATCATTTCCCTTTACTCTTTAGAGGCTCTAATTCCTTTCCCCAAACATGGTTGGCCCCAAACAGACCCCCTACATGCAGCTCTAGGACACAGAGGACCAGGACAGACAGCAGGAAGCTCAGACAAGCCATGGGCTGGCGGCTCAGCCTCCCTCCCGTCGGCCCTGGAGCTGGGATGCAAGCCTGCTTTGGGGTGCAGTTTTTCTTCTGCCCAGAAAGCCCTTCCCACCAGGCTGTGTTTCTCAGCAGGAAAAATCAGACCATGTGTGGCCCTGGACAGTCTCAGGGAGAGGCTCTGAATGCCATTACATCACAGTGAGGGAACTGCACCCTGCTCAGAGCCTCGGTCCCTCCGAAAAAACCTAGTAGAAAAAAGCGATTGGAGCCAAGGTCTTCATCACCTCCTTCATATCACCCCTTTAACAAGGAGGTGCCCTTGAGCTTCAGACTCAAGGTCCTTGGCATGCTTTCAACTTTCAGCTAGAATATTAACAGATTTTTCCCCCTGTTCCAGGGGGTTGAAGGCAGGGGTGCTTTACAACTGACCTATGTCCCCAACCACTTTTCTATTTTCTTTTGAGAGAGGGTCTTGCTAAATTGCTGAGGCTGGCCTCAAACTTGCGATCCTCCTGCCTCAGTCTCCCGAGTCGCTGGGATTATAGGCGTGTGCCACAACCCCACGGTTCCAAAATGTTTTTTTGCCGCCATTCATTTTAATGCTTCTCTTTACCTTTTATTTATGGCAAATGATATTGGTTTTCCATTTACAACCGTGATGTAAACTTTCCTTTCAAAACTAAACTTGTATTTGTAACAAAAAGTGAGTCAACTGAACGTCAACAGAGTTTCAAAAACACCAAGGAGAGCACGATTGCTGGGAATGTGGTGGGCCGGGCAGCTCTTAGGGCGAGAGAGACTGACGGGTAGGGAGCTGGGCTCGAAGGACCTCTGACCCCCTAAGCTCTGCCCCGGCCCCTGAGGTCCCAGCTCCCCTTCAGGCAGTATTCAAGGCCTGTTCTCTTGGCCCACTGGATCAGCTGGCCCATGGGCTCTAGCATGAGGGCCCCTGGTTCTCATTCTGCTAGGAAGAGCTGATCTGAAGCCCTGGGTGGAGTCGGCCATAGACCTTTCTGACCCTGACCTAATCCTGAGTCTACTGCTAGGCCTCCTGGCGAGGGCAGAGGAGGTGGCTCTGATGGAGAGGTGGACGGAGGGCCTCTCACATCGTCTGCTCTCAGCTCAGGGCTGAAGAAAGCTGAGTGCCAGGAGCCGCCTGGGGAAATGCTGGTCAAGCCAGGGAGGCAAAGCCAAGGCCTGACCCTTGCAGGCCAAAAACGCACAGATTTGTGGCTCCCAGAGCCAAGTGGCTTTCCTTAAACCAGTGTGCCGTCAGGGGGCTTGGAGCACACACCTGCAGATGGAGACTGAGAGAAGAGACCACCCCTCAGCTCTCCCCACATGCTCCCAGCCCCCGAGCCAGCTCAATGCCCGTGTCTGACATGGCCTTCCTGAGTCTCCCTCACACCAAATTGAAAGCACCCGATTCCCCTTTTGCAGGGTAGACCTCTCCCCTGAGGCTGAGTGCTGTGTTCCAAATGGGAGTACCCAACAGGACAGGAGCTCCTGCGTCTCTGGCCCCTGCCCAGCTCTGGCTGGCTTGGACTGTCTCCCACACAGGTCCTTGGGCCCAAGAATTTAGTAAGCGCAGCTCTGTGGCCACCTGGTCCAGGGCCCAAGTGGGGAGGGTACCTTGGCACTCAGAGGCCGTCAGAATGGCGAGGCGTGGTTCTCCAGAGCATTCCTGCTTGTCTGTGCCCTCAACTACCCCAAGAGGTTGTTCCAAAGCCACCAGCGACTGATTGTTGGGAGTTCTGAGTTTGGGTTTTAGGATCTGGTGAGCCCCGAGCTTTAGCATCGGTGTCGAAAATAGGACTATCACGTTCCTTTCTCTCTGGAAGGTGAGGCTCCTTCCTGTGAGCTGGTAAGAAATGGGGCAGGGGGAGTTCCCAGCCTACCGGTGGGAGGTGTGTCTCCCTCCTCAGACCCAGGGGCCCTGCGGTGCCTCAACACCTCACTCCCAGGAGGACTCTTTGGACAGCAGCACTGCCCAGCCACATTTCAGCCCCTTGAGGGGGTTCCTGGGCCCTCTCCAAGCCCCAGGGCTGTCACCCCAGCCAGGGCCTCCTGGTCATGTCTTTACTAACAGGCTCCAGAAAGGTGGCCACGAGGAGACTACCAGAAAGGGGCCAAGAGGGTAGGACTCAGCCGGAGTGGCAAGAGGTGACAGAAGGGTGGCTACCTGAGAGGGCTGCCGTCAGCCATCCAGCGATTCCCAAGAAGAGCCACATGTCTTGAGCCATCTCTGACTGCTACGCGTGCCTGTCCACGGGAAGCACCATCCTGGGCCTGGAGGAGGACGCTGTGTGCCCGTCTCTCCTGGGCTGCCCTTTCTGTTCCTGTTGGTGTCTTTCTCTCTGCTGCTCTCTCCTACACACAAGCGACCAAACTCAGCCTGTGAGATCTCACGCCTCTACGCTCTGCTTGTGGTTTTGGTCTCCAGGAAGCCGGGCTCGTGTTGCAAGGGCTGGTGGGGGAGCCCTAGCCGCCTGTGCCATGATCCCACCAAGCCCACACGAACCCGGAGAGTCCTAGAGGAACACACTTCCCCAAAGGTCTTCTCAGAAAGGAAAAAAGGAACAAAAGGGCCATGCCTCATTCCTGGTGACAGAGGGGACACTGGCATTTAGCACATGCCGAGTCAACCCAAGCTGGAAAAGTGATCCATTGTTGTCCCATTCCACAGAGCCCAGCTCTCATGGGATCAAATCCCAAGGGTGGCCTGGTTCTTGGGTGTCATGGTGGCTGGAAAGCAGGAGGGTGTGGTCATGAGCCCCAGCCAACCCCAGAAAAAATGTCGATGGCCAAAGATTTGAGAGATCGTCTCCCACCTCCTTCTGCAGAGAAGGGACCCCAGCCCACATGGGAGCTGCCTGCCGAGAGGGCACAGAAGGGCCTGACTCCCCCCAACACTCCCTGCCCCCCAGCCACTGATTGAGCGTGTCTCTGGGGGAGTCAGGCGTGGGAGCTGGGGCTGGAGGGAGAGCAGGATGTCAACAGGCCCCAGTGGGGGAGGTCTCTGGGCCAGAAGGAGCAGCAGGGGCACAGGGCTGGAAGAGGAAGGCCCAGGGCTGCCCAGGAAGTGCCAAGTGGTGGCCAACTGGACGTTTGCCAACAGACAGACACCACAGGAAGGAGGCAGGGACCAAGTGTGTTTAATTGACCACTGTACTCCAAAGGGAGCATACAGTAGGTGCTGAATAAATGTTGAATGAATGAAGGAATAGATCATTTGGTTGTTCAAGAACAACCTGGGGTCCAGAAAGGGGCTGGTTCCCATTTCTGGCCCTATCCTGTAGGGTCCCATGTCAGGTCACCCCTCCTGCCCCTGGCCCCCTTTCTTCATTTCTTCACCTGTGGAATGGTGACGATTCTGACTCCATTGGGTTGCAACCCAGGGCACATTTGAGTGGCAGGTTTTGGAGCCACAGGGAATCAGGCCCCTCCCACTTTAAGACCCTGCCCCGCCCACAGTGGGGGTAGATTCCCCTCTGGCCCCGGCTGAGGCTGCCCTCTAGTGGAGAGTCACTGGCAGCACAGGCTGGGGCACAGGCAGGTCCAGCTCCTGGGTTCAGTTCCACTCATCTCCAGAGACTTGGGTAGAGAGGAACCATCTCCCTGACCTCAAGGAGCACAGGGTTTACAAACACAAAGTGACCAAACCACCAGCCAGGTGGAGATGAACCCAGGGCGAGGTCTTCTGGACCTGAGAGAAGGCACATTTGAAATGGGCTGGGAAGGATGATTCGGCTTCCATTTCTGACCAAAACATCAGAAAAAAAAAAATCTTCTAAGCCATTTTCTAAAATGCATAGCCAAGATGGCAAGCAAAGAGGGGGAGTCACCAGAGGTCAAAGATGACAAGAAGGCACAGGTCCAAAGAAGCAGGAAAAGAGGCATCTGCTGATCCCAGGTGGCCAAGCACATTAGTGGTGTAAGGGCCTGGACGGAGCAAGTGGAGAACAAGATCTGAGCCCCCTGCCTAAAGCAAAGAGCACCAAACCCAGTACCCACAGTGGGTGAACTTGGAAAGAAAGCTCCTCCTGATGAGATGACAGTAGCCAGTCTAGCTCAACATTGACCGAGTGAAAGACAAGGGACCATCAACCCAGAATGCTCCTGACCACCCACTGACCCACAAATGGGTCTGGAGGAGGGATCTCAGTGCCTGTTGTGGGAGCTCCCCCAACCCAAACACGATGAATAACAAGAAATCTACACCAAGCACTTGGAGTAGCCAAACTGGGGCTCACAAGGGCGAATGTGGATGCACTGTGAAATACAACTGTAGTTAGCTCCTCAGAATGAACAACCAAGGCCAGAAGACAGTCACTAAATATCTCAAAGTACTAAGAGAAAATAGCTGTCAACCTGGAGTATCTTCCAAGAACGAGACCGAAAAGATTTTGCTATGGTGTAGATGCATCTGCCAAAGTTCATGTTCATATGTCAATGGTATTGGGGGGGCGTGGACTTTGGGACATAATTAGTGTTAGAGGAGGCCTGGAGGGCGGGTCCCCCATGATGGGATTGGTGGCTTTATAAGAAGAGGAAGAGAGATCCCAGGTTGCGCACTCCTGTGCTCTTGCATCTCATCACATGGTGCCCTCTGCCATGTGGTCAGGCAGCAGATTCCAGCGTGGCGACACTGACTTCCCAGCCTCCGCCACTGTAAGAAGTAGACTTCTTTTTACCCAGTGTGTGGCGTTTATCTTGTAACAACATGAAACCGACAAGACAGATTCCTTTTCAGATAAAAACTGAGAGCATTTACAACTCCACAGACCTTGGCCTCGGGGAACTCTGGAAGGTGTTCTTCAAGAACCAGAAAAATAATCCCAGAAAGAAAATCTAAGTTTCACGTAGGAGTGGTGGCAAAGAAATATATAATTAGAGAGATAGATTAAATAAGCATTAAGTGTACTAAACAATTATAATAATGTCTAATTTATAGAGTTAGTGGGGAAAACACAGATAAAACTAAAGAACCAGAAAACCAGAGCCAGTGAACCCGGAAGGCGTCATCAGAGATAGGCAGCCGTATTATTTGGTGGGAGGGGAAAACGTTGACCTACCTTTTGACTTTTGTTTTAGTCAGTTTTTTCATCGCCGTGACCAAAAGACCTGACAAGAACAACTTAAAGGAGGGAAATTTTTATTTTGACTCATGGTTTCAGAGGCTTGGTCAGTCCATGGTTGACCAACTCCATGGTTCTCGGCCCAAGGTGAGACAGGGCATCATGGCGGAAGGGTGTGGCAGAGGAAAGCACTCAGGATATGGCCACAGGAAGCAGAGAGAGAGAGCTGCTCCCCCAAATTTCCACCCTCAGTGACCTACTTCTTCCAACCACTCCTTACCAGTAGTAGTCTACAATCACTACCCAGTTCATTCCCAACAGTGGATTAATCCAGTGGTGAAGTTCATGTTCTTATAATCCAATCATGTCACCTCTGAAAATTCTGACACATGAACTTTTGGGGGTCACCTCATTTCGAAACCATAACCACTTTATTAAGTACAATGCGTTTGTTAAGCTGATAGAGCAATGAAGTGGAATGAGGGAGAGCGCCTGTTATAAACCAAAAGAGGACCGCAAAAGTAAAAATGAAATAGGAAGAACAGGACTAACGGAAGGATGGTGGTTTCCGCAGGTGGAGGTGGGTGCAGGGTGCTGGGAAGGTGCTCCTGGCAGGGAGCACTGCGTACAAGAGGCAGGACAGCAGGGTGTGGGTGCTGCTGGAGCTGAAATGACAGGGTGCACCCCAAGCCGCCCGTGTTTCATGGACATGAAGCTTTGAACAGGAGGCTGGAAGATGTACCCAGCTGGATACCCAAATCAATGAGCTCATTTTTATTTATAACTCTTGGAACCCAGATCTTTTGATCTCAGTTTGCAGGGGACTCCTGGTGGCTCTCCATCCTTGGGGAACCCAGGCAGTTTTCATTAGACTGTAACTCTCTCCTGGCCCTGGCCCAGCCAAGGAATCAGAGAGAAACCTGAGTCTCTAACCGGAAAGAGACGTCCTTGAACTGCACGTACCTCCATGTAGCACATTAATGCTACTAATACTTGGTGAGCGTCTCCTTCTCTTCCAAACACAGTGCCTGGAATTTCTCCCTCACTCCTCTAAATAGATTGTGTCCGTGGAGCATTCTGACGACTAGGGCTGGGCTCTGAATTTAGAAATGTACTCCCCACCAGGACCCTGAGCTCCTACCCAAGAGTTTTCTACCAGGGTCCAAGTATTCAGCACCTAAGTGTACACTCTTAGGCATTTTTTTTATGTCTTTATTTTATTTTTATGTGGTGCTGAGGATTGAACCCAGTGTCTCACGCATAGTAGGTGAGCCCCAGCCCCAGCCCCTCACTCAGGCATCTGATGCACCTTTATCATGTGTTCTAGATGCTGGGGAGACAACGTGGACCAACACACAAGTATTTCTATTCTCATAGGACTATGTTTTACGGGGAGCATTTTGTAATCAGCAGTAGCCATAATAAGTAAATTGCATGGAGAAAAGAAATAGAGCTGGATAAATAGGGTTAGATGCTGGGGAGGGGTTGCTTTTAAATAAGGTAGTATCCTAGGCTGGCCTCCCCCTCAAATCAGTCCTGGGACAAGAGCTGGATCACAGATAGGTGATTTGGGAATGATCCTAGGGAACAGAAATGAGGTACAAGAGATAGAAAGTAGGTAAAGGATAAAAGTAAAAAAAAAAAAAAAAAAAAAAAGCAGGTCTCTTTGAGATCCATAGCCATGGGCAAACAGCTCTCCCTCTCGGACTCACGGAATCGTTCTCAGAACCGCCGGCCCCACCTGTGGACTCCATTTCTGCCCCTCACTGCACCCACACTGGTGTGGCCAGAGAAGAGAAGCTGCCCAGTATCCACAGGAAGGGCACCCTGTCTGCGCGGTCATCCTAGGCCCTTGCAGAGAACTCTCCTGGGCATGAACAGGAGACATAAAGAACAGCATGCTCTGTGACAAACCCACACCCGTGTCCTCGTGCCTCTACCCAGATGTCCCGGTCTCTGACCTCCTGTCCTGCTCCTTCTGGGCCCCTGCCCAGGAGTCCCTGTATCTCCAAGCCTCAAGCCACTCATCCTTCCAAACACAGCGATGACCAAAGCTGCTCTCACATCTGCCTACCACAAGGAGGTCCCCTCATCATTGTCTGACAGAGTCACCTCTGCATGAAGCTCCAACTGCTTCTGTTCATGACTGGTGTTGCTCATCTGTGAACCACCTCTGAGCCTTCCCTCCTCCACCAGGGAGCTCCCTTGAGGACATGGGTGTGGGTTAAAAGGAAAACCGGATTGCAGTGGAGCCAGGGGCCATCCGCCATCTGTGCCTCCTGGGCCAGTGTGTGCCTGAGCTGCAGATGCT